CATGAACTTCTACATTTGATCAATAGGACTAATGGAGTTTCTACAAAGGCGGCAATTAAGTTGGATATGTCCAAAGTTTATGATCGAGTTGACTGGGTGTTCTTGCTTGAGGTCCTTACAGTGTATGGGTTCCCTCCAGTCTGGGTTCAGTGGATTTCCCAATGTGTAACTACGGTGTCCTATAAAACTCTGATAAATGGTCAAGTATCCGAGACTTTCAGACCACAGTGTGGGCTTCGGCAAGGGGATCTGTTATCCCCCTATGTATTTCTTTTCTGTATGGATGTTCTTTCACGCATGCTCTCTATGGCGGAGAACATAGACCAGATTCAGGGGTTACGGGCAACACGGAGATCGCCTCGTATCTCCCATTTATTTTTTGCTGATAATGTTATGTTATTTTTTCAGGCCAATGCGGACTCTTGTAGGAGCATGGTGGATATCTTGAGTAGGTTTGGTGATATTTCAGGTCAACAACTAAATTTGGACAAGTCCTTTGTCAAATTTAGTAAGCGCACACAAGCTTCAACAATACAGTAATATAAAATTATCCTACGTATTGGCCAGGTTTCTAATATGGATAAGCACTTGGGGGCTCCGATCGACCTGCCTACAAGCAAGAAGGGGGCTTTCCAATTCTTGATTGATAAAGTGTCAAGGAAAATTATGGCTTGGAACTCCATAAATTTGTCCCAATCGGCAAAATTAATTTTGATCAACACGGTGTTGATTAGTATTTCTTCACATGTTATGAAATGCTTCAAGCTGCCGATTTCGATAACTAGTAAGATTGACTCCTTGATCGCAAGGTTTTTCTGGGCCAATAAAGGAGATAAGGGTATGCACTGGGTGAAGAGAAAGAAGTTGCACCTACCAAAAGGCATGGGAGGATTGGGCTTAAGGTCCATGGTGTGTTTAAATGAGGCTCTCTTATTTAAACAGGTTGTTAGGATGCATTGTAACCCCTAGTTGCTAGTGGCACGTGTTTTGGAGCCTTCACATAAGTGTTTGATATGCACTGGACGGCCAAAGGATGGTACAGCGGGGAATATTTCCTGGGGAAAAAGGGGTTTTCGAGATGTGGGAAACAAGATGATTAGTGGGTATGCTTGGAAGATCGGGAATGGTAAAAAGGTAAGGATTGCAAACATGAGGTGGGTGCAGGGCTCTGTTCCTGAAATGAGGTCAGACTTGTTGCTTCGGGATGTTGGTTCTGGAATGGTGAAGGACCTCATTTTATCTAACCCAAGACAATGGAATGCTGCTATGGTACGGGAGAGATTTGTTTGGGAGACGGCCAAAAAAATCCTGGAAATGGAATTACCGAATGCTGATCAAGATGATTTCCTATTCTGGAATTCACACTCATCGGGAAACTACACCGTAAAGTCTGGGTATGCCTTTTTAATGCAATCCTTTTATATGAAACAGGGCCATGGTCAGGACGATGTGTTCTTCAAACTAATTTGGGGGTTAAATATTCCGCCAAAATGGAGCTTATTCTTATGGAAACTAGTCATGAATGGCCTGGCTGTCAAGTCAAACTTAAGGTATCGAGGGGTGGATATCGAAGGAGATTGTGACTCTTGTGGTATGGAGGAGGAGGATTTACAACATCTTTTCCGATTGTGTTCTTTTGCGAGGTATGCCTTGCAGAACTGTGACTTGCATATTAGCTCTGAAATTGATGAATCTATTCCTTTGCGACACTGGATTCAGCAACACATCCTGCTCTATCATAGCGAGGATGGGAGACAAAGCGCCAGGCTCCATGTTTTCATAGGAGTTTTGTGGAGTTTATGGTTAACTAGGAATGGGAGAGTTTTTAGAAATGAAAGGGGCTATCTAGCGGATTACTATAGGCATTATGGTCAAACGATGAGTAGCTTGGAGATTTTCCTTAAACCAAGAGAAAGGTATAGGGATTCCACCCGTATAACCGGAAGAACGGAGGAGCTCCCACCCGGGTTCAACAGATTCAACATTGGCAGCCGAAGGGAACTACCAGATCATCCTCTACAGGGGAATACAGAGGTTATAATTATGGTGGATGGTTCTTGGAAGAAAAGTACAGGGGCTGCGGGTTTTAGATGGGCTTATTCTTCGGATGGGGTAAAACTTTTGGAGGGAGGAGGTGATTATGGTACAGCTATCTCAGCTTTACATACTGAGCTCTTGGCTTGCATAGGGGCTATCAAGTGGGCAAGCCGAAAGGGCTACCAATACATTACGATTTTCACTGACTCTATGGCAATCATTCAGCTTCTGCGTTATCCTACCAGCAGGGAAGTGAGAATACTATGGACTATTGAAGATTTATTGAAGGAAGGAGGATCCTTGGACATGTGCACTATTTGGAAAGTTAGTAGAGATCAACTAACACAGGCACATAATATTGCGGTTGGGTGTAGATGTAATTTAATGAAGTTTTCGTTGTAATTTTTTTCGTTTAGTTGCTGTTGTAAAAAAAATATATATTGATTAAGGTTATATTTATTTGTAGGGTGTGTTCAATCAAGGTTCTTGAGGTTCTCTTTGTGTGGTTTTTCTAGCAAGGATCAAGGTACGTTTAGGTGGCTAGATACCTTTGAAAGTAATTGGTTTGAGTAACATGTTTTACATGATTTGATTGGTGATTGAATTAAATTGATTTTGAAATAAATTATGTTTGAAGGTATTTATTTTAATAAAAGTATTTGAATGATTGATTTTTAAATCATGTTTTGAATGGTTTGGATTACTTATCGTATTTAAATAATATCGGGAACTATTGGATATTAAAAGGATTTATTGAACCATTGGATTATTATTATTGTAAATGCTTTATAAGCATGTTAGTAATCCCACTATACGGATTTGGTTTATTGATAAGGCCTTGGACTTTGTATGACTGGGTCTTTCCTCAAGAATAGCCTTGTAATATAAGGAGACTAGCTTGGGGGGTGTGCACAATTGGGTTAGGAATTGGATTAAAAGGAATTGGTTTTATTAACTAATATTTTGAATGTTGAATGATTGGAATCGATTTTGGAATAATGAGTTTTGAATTTATTGGATTAATTATTGGAATTGGTTTTAAAAGCATGTTTGCAAATAAATTGAGTTTACACTATCTTGCACTTATCGTACTTAGCATTATTTGTTAATCCGTATTTCTTATTTGTTTTGGTTCGCCCTGTTTACCGTAATGGTAAGCAGTGTTGACTATTTTCAGGTGGAGTCATGAATGAGCATATGGGAGTCCCGGGATTTTCTTCACCTAGTTTAGGAATGTTGGTCTTTTCTTTATTTTTTAGAACTCATAACAATGTTACTATTTTTATAAGTATTAATAAAAGAAAGTTGAGTTTCCGCTGCAAGTTTTGTTGTTGAGTTAAGTATTTTGAGTAGCCTTACGTAATCACGCGGCGGTAATACGCCCAAGTCTATCTCTACGGTATAATTATATGTATTATACTAGTTTCCGTAGAGGGAGATTTGGGGTGTTACAAAACTCTACTAGGAAGATTAGCCAATTCATTTACTAATTTCAATTTATACTCTAGATAATTCTTCATGGCAGCAGATCGAACGGTTTTTCGGGAGATTTTTTTGTGTTTTGGTTGTAGTGCTCGATTAATGTAGTTGTTGAAGGCATCATTTTCGGCGAAAAGAAAAGGTTGTTCGGCATGTACAATCATTCTCCCAAGTTCATCCCTATCTCTCTCGTAATTGTAAATGAAGCCTTGTGGATGGAATTGAGAAATATTGGGTTGGGTTGGATCACTAGATGGTCCACCGCATTTTTTTGAATGTCTGCTAAGGTGTCCCGTCCCTCCCTTGGTATCGGCCGAGAAAATTTTACCACAAGTCCGACACTTGGCTTTTTGTCCATTTTTACTCAATTGATAATGTGACCAAAACTTCACTCTTTCGTCATTGAAGAGATTCATCGTTGGTTTTGGGGAGGATGAGTTTAGGGCATAAAACCCTAATGATTTTGCCGTTGTTCATGGAGGGCATATATGTTGATTGATTTTCAGTAGGTTGTGGTGGCTCCTTTGCTCGTGTAGTCGTGTTCAAGTTCAAATGTCTAGACTTGAAAGAATGGCCCCATTTTTAATGTGATCTCATTACATATGGAGATTTCAAGGTGACAGTCAAAACCTGATAATGTATTTTTAAATTACTCCATATACGTATACGTATACATTAAGACAAATCTTACCCCAAACTTACAAGTCAACTTTAATGTTTTTTTTTTTGGTGTTTAGAGAGCCACAAAGGGCGAGGGTGAGAATCGATCCCAGAATCTCCTGGAATCGGGAGGGAAGCTCTAACCACTTGAGTTATACCTCACTCTCACAAGTCAACTTTAATGTAACAATGAGGGTTCTTTTTTTATGATAATAATGAGTATCTTGAGTGGCTTTTGAGTAGCTCTCCCTAGAGAGCCACTTGGTGATAACTCTCGCAAAAAAGTCACTTAATTAGTTTTGGAGAGTTAACATTATCTCTAATTGTGTGACATGTATTCCTGAGATACCATGACCCTCCCATGCCATTTTGGCCGATTGGGGTAGTTTCACATAGGTATCTTGAGAGTGTCTTGTAGAGAGATAAATCAGATAATGGTAAAGAGTGGAAATTAATTATTACTCCGTACTTATGTATCACGAAAGAAGGTCAAAAGAGTGTAAATAGTGTATCATTTTGAACTTATTTTAAAATTATGCATGATGTATTTATAGTATGTTCTTACTGACTGAGATTGACCCGGTGTAAAAGAAAATCTTCTAATCCGTGATTTGGGGTGAGGGGTTTAATCCCACACTAGGAGCACTGTAATCCCCTTAACCCTCCCAAATGGACTATCCCGCTAACCCAGATCTAATTGACATGTGAGGGTTTTCAATCCTTGAGGGCCTTCAATCTGACTTTTGGCAAAATTGGGAAAAGTCCCGAGTCGGAATGTACATAACGTATATACTCTGGTCAATTAAAATAACAAAGAGCCTGTATTTAATGAGTAGAGTGGTTCCCTTTGAGCCAATAAACAATCTTCATATTCTGTCATTAACTTTAGAATCTGAACAACTGAGCATAGTATCAGCTAACTAACTAGCTACATATCTAATTTCTTTGCACTACAAATGAGTTACATCACATCCATTTAATAGAGTAGATCGAGTTAGCTGGTCTCTTGAATGTCATACCTCATACCTTATCGGGAAAATTTTAGCACCATAGAAAAATAAAGTTATACATGTACAGTACTACGAACTGTTTTCCAATGTCTGAATTCAACTCATAACCATACTGATCTAATGACTATCGACTGTCTTGTGCCTGGGAAAACATGGAAGACTCCATATCCTGTAAGTCAGAAGTCACATACAGATGCCTATATGCAAGTCTTACTTGGCTGCGGCACAAGGAAGGACCCATTCCACAATATGTGATCTTTGTCGTTGATGCTTCATTTGCCAAGCCTGCAAGACCAATGTTTCTAACTTAGCATTACATATTTCATTGTTATAATAAGCCTGACATCGACTATATTTTGCAACAGATCTAGTTTCTTCAATATTTTGCTTGAAGCTTTGAGCAATCTGGTGCAAGTTTTATAAGACTATCTTCTTGTCTTTACCTTCTTCATTGAAAAAGGTGGTATTTTCCAGCAATGTGACTTCGAGTCTTCCGTTTTTCTGCAAGATGTGATTATGATCATATTATCTTTCAAGGACAAATCAAGCATACATGACAGCAGTATATGTCTATAGTTAGTATAATGGCTTTCACCAACTGAAGATTGCTTTGTTTTTAGTACTCCCACTAGTCCAGTAAAGTTTATATTTACAAAAAAATATAAAGCACCCAAACTCTATGTTTAGTTCACTTTCTACTTTTGGTATGATTTTTCTTTTCTGTAAAGTTGAGACCCACACCCATCTACCCCAAAGCAATCTTAACTTACAACTGGGACTGGGGGAGTAATCAAGAATCATTCATACAGAATTTGTTTAGGGTTTACTAATTGTACTAGCCTCTCAACTCTAAGTAATGCAAATTGTAAGCTCATTTTAATGCTATTTTGAAGTAAATATTATACTTCTCTAAGCTTAATTAAGAAAAAAAAATTGGGAGATGACAGCTAAATGCAGCAGCTCAATTAAAAGTACATATCATGTAAATGTGATCTCAACACAATGGAGCATGTTCACCTCATAGCAATACATAAAATATTAATGGCTAGATAACTCACCCATCTTCTTGATGTGAAATGTCACTGTTGTTGCTACCATTACTTAAGACATAAGGATATTCAGTGCAGATATATGCGTCAAAAGATGTTTCCCTACTATTTTCTTTTGGCTGGACTTTTAAGCAGAGTACTTCAGCGGCCTCTGACGATCCCAATTTCTTACTAAGTTTCATAGTTTTAGGAAAGCAGTTGGGCTGAACTTCCTCTTCTACAGTTGAAATCTTGCATACTTTTTCTTGCTCACTCAACATGCTATCTTGTGAGACTCTATTGGGTGTTGACACTCCAGACTTTGCAGTACTAAGTGAATTTCCATCGCTGTTTCTCAGAGTGCTAACCCTTCTGTGGCTGCAAATATGAGATACCTGGGATCCACAGGATGAGCAAGTTTCGACATGCTTGTCTCCTATCATAGCTTTATCAGAAGTGAAGTTGGAAGCGTCTGATGACCGATCACTTCCACTTTCAGTGGTATGTGACTTGTGAATTCTACGGGAACAGCTAAACAAACTGAAAGATGGCCTCTTGGATTTGGCATAACTAGGGGATAGATTGATCCTAAGCTCCACATTGCATTTTAGAACAGACTGAAGTGAGCTTGCAATAAGTTTCCATGAGTTCTCTGCCTTGGATGCATAATCAGGATGATCAAATTCTAATTCAGCAACAATCAGATCTGCGTACAATAATGTATCTTGGCAAGTTAGTAACATGACTTATTCCTTCTTAGTTCAATAACTTTTTTCCAATTAGACACTGATTGACCAAGAATTTTAGTAATTCATAAGATTTTGAGCTGAATGCAATCCCAAATCAATTAAAATTATTATCGTTATTATTCTTCAATGACTGCTGCAGGTGAAACAAATCGACAAGGATTAAGTGAAGTGAGCAACAAATCTACATTCCTTTTCGAGTTTACCCCATCGAGGTCTACTCCAGATTCTACTATTTTGAAGAAATCCCTGAAAACAAGATGTTTAAACTACTTAGCAGCTAATTGTCTGACTAGACTAAGAATTACCATTGATCACCAATTCACCAGTACATGTCCAATACAGGTCTAGTAATTCCTCAAATGATCTGATACTCTCAAGTCTTGACATTATAATTATTCTCAATCCGGTAAAGGCGAAGCATTTAAAATAAGTTCAAAGGGTAGTGAACAGAACATCTGGTGTGCAGTATGGCACACTCAACCCTGAAATTATTTACCCCTGAAGTCTCACCAAGCATAGATAGTTGGGGCTTTTGGTAAGTACTCACCAGGAGCTCAGAATGACTTATCAATCAATCATAACTAAAAATTCTCAATCAAAACAATAGGAACATCACAGCCGAAAATAATAAATTCAAAAATGAAACAAGTACATTAAAGGTTTCAGGGTTGAAATATATAAATAAATCTTGAAATATATAAATAAATCTGATTTGGCTAATATTTTCAAGAAAAGTATTCTTTTAATTTTTAAGAAAGATCTCAGAAGTGTACCAAAATGCAATTTATGCCAAAGTCTTATGTATGATCGTTAAAGGTTGACCAGCAGAAAAATTCATAATAAACATAATCCACAAGTGTGTAGCATAATGTGTAAGAAGATACAATTCTGAGTCTTCTGACTCCTAAGGGAAGCAGGGGTGTAGTGCATTTTTAAAGGCTCATACAACGGATTAAGAGGCTAATTATATAATTCTAGCCATTTAAGGAAGGTGGTCATGAAGAAGATGCAATTACCTTTCTTGACCCAAACAGAAGAGAGCTTCCCTCGTCTTCGTAGAAAGCTTCTGAGTGAATTTGACTGGCAAGTTTCAGTGGCTCTGATCCATACAGATTCAACAGAACCTCCACATTCTCCTTGTGCCACCTTTTTACGCAATTCTTCATCAGCGCAGTCATATGAGACAAGATGCTTTGATCTTGCACCAAGGGAAGATGTACTGCAACAGTCACCATCTGCAGCTGAAGCAATTGGTCGGCATTTTGGTGATCAGGTAAGTATAATTGAGCCTTTACTAAAAATAAGTTTGGTTATAATACATGGAGAAAAATATAACCAACCTTCAGAATTTGCAGTTCTTACTGATAACCTGGACTCATTTGGATCTGAGTAAGAAGAATCTACAGAATTTAATTGCAATAAAGCTACAGTAAGCCATGTAGTTTGATTTTTGGAAACCCTCAGCTGTTTCTCACTTTCTGATAATACCCTCAATGCATTACGGATCTTCTGCATATCTGTCTCCGCTGCAAAACGGCATTGTTGAACACAAGTCAAATAAAAAAAACTATAGATGTTAAGCTAACTGCCACCGGAACAGCATCACTAGCACCAACAAGGTGAAATTGAGCACCCATCTTTTGGGTTGTCATTCTAACAAATTTAATTGGTAAGTTGATGAAAATATAACCTATATGCCATTTAACACAAAGTGTTGGAACAAAGCAAACCTCACCCTGTAATATTAATGAGTCAGCTCGTCCAGATCCTAGCAGTTTCCTACATTTAACTAGCCTAAAAACTAAAGTCCACATATTTCTCTATTAACTTACAAGCATGTCTTCTCAAGAAATTCCTCCGAAGCTCAGAGTCTTCCTCCTGGAATTTCCCAGCTAGAATATCCATTATAATATTGGCAAGTTGGGATATAAGTTGCATTGGATCAATCCTCGACCTCATCAGTTCCCTTGCTCTTTTAACTGTATTTGAAGTGTCCGCGGACAAAGCCAGGTCAAGTAATTCCAGCATCTCGTCATCTGAAACAGTTCCAACCTGCATAAATACGACAAAAGGCTGAATTTAGTCAAAGCACAAAACAAGAAGGCAGCAAATGGTATCATAAAACTCACAAGTTCATAGGCCAATGTCATAGTGATCTTGCTGCCTAACAAACTCAGCTGATCAAGCATCATTTCAGCATCTCGCATTGAGCCATTGGACTTGGAAGAAATGAACTCCAAAGCAGCCTGTTCAAACTCCAATCCTTCTTCCTTACAAATTTTTCCTAGTCTAACAGTAACATCAAGATCCTTTAACTTTGGGAAGTTATATCTTTGAGACCGTGCAACCACTCTTCTTGGCAGTTTATCTAGGTCTGGGGTGATCATAATGAAGACGACGTGTTGAGAGAAACTTTCCAGGCTGGTCAAAAGAGTTGCCCAGGCATCACCTCGGATTAAATGACACTCATCCAAAATGATGACCTTAAATTTTGAGGATATTGGAGGTAAAGTAGCACTTTTAATGAGGGATCTCATCCTACCTCCACGGTTTATTTTCACAGGATCAACTTCCTTAACATCCCTGCTCCTACCTGCGAAATACAACATGCATTCTTGGCATGATCTACACGGTCTTTGATCTTCTAGGGAGAGACAATTTAACGCTGCAGCAAATATCCTTGAAGCAGAAGTCTTTCCAGCTCCACGAGGACCATGAAAAAGATAGAATGTGGTTATTCTACCTTTCAAAATAGCCCCCATAAGTGACCTTGCTGCCACACCTTGTCCAACTAATTCATCAAAAGATTTGGGTCTAAATTTTTTACTTAGACTTCTAGGACTTTCAGAATATGGAACAATCTCACTGTTAACATTCTTCCAGCTCCTACTTCCAGACATATCAGTGCCACCTGATTCTCCCGATATTAATGGATATTCTTCTCCATCAGAAGCAAGAGATGGGTCTCTATATCTAGGGGTTCTCGACCAGCAGCAGGTTATCCCACATCCACGATATTCCTGGCCTAGAGCATCAATCTCATCAGTTGCAAACAGTGATGCACTACGTGTTGACCCATCTAACAAGGTGTCACTAGCACAAAGGGATGGACTGCTTGCTCGGCTTACAAAATCACCTACTGACCCAACTGACCTCTTACATTTATAAGACTGATTTCGTGTTGATGAATGGACTTTGCCTCCAATCTGAGGAGACCTTACTGTCGTTGAACCATGATTCGAATCCACACCCTCCATCTGATCATTGGAAGGGGAAGCACAAGCTAACTCTAATCCATGAATCCTATAATCACCACCATATGTCTGATTTCGTAATTCATCAACATCCTCATGCTTGCCTTTTGTACCAGAAACTAAGGACCCTGATTTTCCAACACACTTGCTTACATTAATAGACTTAGAAACGGATTTAGGAGTACATTCCTTCGATTCAAAATCTGTCACATTTTCTTCCTCTTCACCACAAGTCCCTAAAATTCTACTTAAATCCCAATTATTGCTTAGATTACCCTCTTGGCAACCATTCCCAAACCTCAAAGAAATCCCATTACAAGAATTTGTATCCCAATGCAAACTATCAACTATAGAAGAGAATTTACTCATCGAATTCGTTGATGGATCCCTCAATGACCTCACCCTCCTAAGTGCCACCAGGGTTTTAGAAATAGGTACATCAACTGAATGTCGCCGCCCCTCCATCGTTCAAAAAACTATTCCAACAACCTTACACCTATCTACAATGTACTAAAAATCAGACCTGTGTACAAAATAAGGCCAAAAATCAACATCAATTCAAATAACCCCACCTCCTAACTTAGACAAAAACCCAAAACAAACAGAAACATTGAATACATTACATGATAATAACACAAAAACAATCAAAATCAAACACCCTTTTCCATACATAGTAAATAATAGGAAAACAAGACGATAAACCCAAATCATTGTTTCAGATGAAAACCATTTAACATGTGATCATCTCTAGAAGACATAATTACCAAAAATGGAAGACTAATCAAAAGCAAAACATCAACATTCAAAAAAAACAACTAAAATGCACTATTTCTTGTACCTTTTACCAAAGTAGAACATATAAAAAAAAAAAAACAGCAACTTCTTCCTCCTTTTTTTTCACCAAAAAAACAGCAGGAAATAGAAATGAAAAACCTCAAAAAAAAAAAAAAAAAAAAAAAAAAAAAAAACCAGATGAGAAAATAAGTATTATACTATTAATTTCAACTTACAGTAAAACTACAGCAAGAAGAGGAAAAAATGGAATCTAATCAAAACTATATAATATAAATTTATATAGTAAATTGAACCCAGAAAAAAATACACACATTGCCAAACGACAAATAATTAAAATAATTAATAAATTGATTAAAAATGAGAACCTGAACATTGAAATTCTGAGTTGCTTGAAGTTCACGAGGGCGAGATTATCGGAGAAAAAAAGGGAAATTAAAAAATTTTATATGAAAAAGAAAGTAAACTCCTACAAAATGTAGCTTCAATATTTGTCTAAATGCTAAAATCTCAACACTAACAAACACAGAAAATCAGCAAGAAGAAGAAAATTTTTATGAGTTTTTTTTTTTTTTTTGTTTGAAATTATGTTAGTTTTAAAAGATCAAATTTTTAAGAAGAAAAAAATGATGCTGATGAAATGAGAGGTAATAATTAATTGAAATAAGAAAACCCCAGAAATTATTTTTAACAAGTGCAGAAAAATGTTCAGTAGCCAGATAGTGTAGCAGGGGAGGAGAGAGAAGAAGGGTAACTTGGTAAATTCAAGTGTACTGACAGTTTGAGAGTTAGTTTGGCTTTTTTTTGATGGCTGGCTTGAAAAGTGGAGGGTTCATCACCTATAAATGGGACCAGCAAAATCCACGCTTTTTTTTTTTGCGAGTTTCTAACGCTTTTTCTTCCTATGTTCTAGGCTGCATAGATTAGTACAGAACCAAAAATTAAAATGTACATTGTTCTTATGGCCAGATCTGTTTAGACCTGAACTGATCTAATTAGAATTAAACTGATCTAATTGGAGCTGAATCGTTTATGAGAGAAGGAAATTAGGAAGTGAACTAAATTGATTTGATTGGAGCTTTTGAACTAAAATATAGTTAAAGAGAACAGGTCGGGGTCTAGAGCTTTAGATGTTTATGGATGTCATTACGAAGTAAAATTTTGAGTTTAGTAATCAAGAGAAGAAATTGGAGCTGAACTGTTTATCAGAGAAGAAATTTAGAAAGTGAACTAAATTGATTTGATTGGAGTTGAATTGAACTAAAATATAGCTGAAGAGAACAGGTCGGGGTCTAGAGCTTTAGATGTTTATGGATGACATTACGAAGTAAAATTTTGAGTTTAGTAATGAAGACAAGAAATTCTAGTAAAAGACCTTTGTCTCGTCCCTGTAAAAAATGATACAAAATCTTTATAAAGTTTATTTTGTAATCACAAAGCACAACAAATAAATAATTAAAATTTTAAGGTCCGTCTCATTGAAAATGTGGGAGGAATGATAATAGAAACCAAACCTTTACCATTAGATCACGATTGGTTGACACTACGAGGAGGAATAATAAGGGACATCTAACCTTTACCCCTAGATCATCACGTCTACTTGACCATACGAAGTACATAGCAAGGAATATGATCTAGTTCTAACAAAAATAAAATAATGCGAAGTAAGGTAAGTTCTCACATGATAAGGAAGAGAATAGTGGATGATTATATTTGTTAAATAGTGAGTACTAAGGGTATGTTCTCTTACGTTGAAATTCAGTTCAGTTTAGTTCAGCTCATTTCAGTTAAGGTTCAGCTCAATTCAGTTCAGTTTCTAATTTCCTTCTCTTATAAAATATTCATTTCAGTTCAGTTCAGCTCAGCTCAGTTCAATTGTTCAGTCAATGAGAACAGACCCTAAGTTACAAATTCACGACATAAGTCACTGAAATTATCCTTTGGAAAATATTAGTACAACTTAAATACATAGCCCTAAAAGTCTAAAACTATGTTAACAATTTCTATAATTAACTATGCACTTGGAATAAAAAGATATAATGGTTAAAATAAATAGGTTACAAAGGGCAATTAACAGTAATATAAAAATACCCTAAATAAAATAGGTTCTGAAATTTTGACATTACTATGCTAAGTTGCATATAATTGAGGGTGAGGCCTCTAAATTGTTTAATTACCTTAGCAGGACCACTAATTAGTAAAATGATGATGGTAATTATAATTCAAATCCTATAGTTCAGTGCTAACCCAACTTTCATTGGTTCCTTGCTTCTTTTATAATCATCTACTTTTTCTTTTTCATATTTTAAAGGAGATTAGCATCAACCTAAGCTCAGGTGGATAATATTCATAATTAGCTATGTTTGTTAACTTTGCTTTCTTGATATTGTTACTTTTTTTTTCCCTTTATATATATATATATATATATATATATATATATATATATATATATATATATATATATATATATATATATATATATATATATATATATATATATATATATATATATATATATATATATATATATATATATATATATATATATATATATATATATATATATATATATATATATATATATATATATATCGAGGAGTATGGTAAATTTATATGAGGATTTATACTTGTTAGGAATATATATTCCTAACAATACTGCTAGCTCGTAGTGTTTTTAATACTTTCAGATATCGGACCTCATTCTAGTATTTCTAATACTTCCAAATTTAATGCATGAAAAAAAATAAAGATGAGGAGTATGATAAATTTATACAAGGATTTATACTATTATGTCGTAGTATTTTTAAGAGGTAGGGTATTTAACCTTGTGATTTATCATAAATGGGACCTCATTTTTAATCACTAGACCTTCATATAAGTAACGTATTAGTAATATATTTGTTTCCTATTTTACTAATGTTTACTGAGATGGGATTATTTAGCTAGTTAGCTTGGAAAACGCATGAAGAACTATACTTCATATCAATGTTGTTATATCTAATTTATTATATCATAAGAGATATAAATGACACATGTCCTACCATTTTTTAAATAAAATTTTACATTTAAAACAAATAAACAAAAGAAACACTCGCACTTGTTGCAAAATTAAAATGAAAATTAACAACTTGGGCAGACATAGTTAAATTAAACATTAATGAATAACTAGTTAAATTTGTGAAACCCTGTACAGATAGTCTGGTACCCTCTCATAAGTTAATTTATGACATAAATAAGTTAAACATTAATAATTACTTCAGTAAAAATCTCACTCAAACAACATTCTCTTCTCTATTAGTTGGAAAATAGTCATTGCATATTTGCAGTCAATAATTGTATGACAATTGTAATAAAAATCCTGTGCAAACATGCAATACAGTAATTGTTACTCCAGTAGTCAATACATTGCACAGTTAATTTTTTTAGAAAAATCAAAATTAATTGATGTGTAGTATGTTGTTCCCCACAAATACAATGCTAATTACTCATTTTCCTACCTGCTACCGAACAATAATCACACTAGTTCTACCTTCATTATTGGGTAATTGCACAACCTCACAATTTTGTAAAATAAAAATAAAAAATGATTGTTTAAAATGCGCAAGAAAAGCATATTAATGTATTTCATGAGTAAAAAAAATAAAAAAAGAAAAAGAAATGGTAGTATTTTCTTAATAAAGCCATCATTTTATTATAAGTCAATCCAACCATAAATCATTGATTTGTTACGGGCGTGTTCGGCAAAATATAGCTGTGAAGGTAGCTGTTAACTGTGTAGGTAGCTATTAACTGTGTAGGTAGCTGTTAGCTGTGAATATAGATAATTTAAGTATGAGTGTTCGGTAAAGTATCGGTTGACTAGTTGTTACATATAAAAGTTTAGATTAAATTTCCAACAATTACCTCAAAAGCTACCTCTACTTTCAAAAGCTAATATTTCTAACTTTTCATAAAAGCTACTCTAACAACTAGTTTGTCAAACACTAATGTTTCGGGGTTTTCTGATGTCCTGCGGGAGAGTTACAATTCGGAGACTGGAACCGGACGCCTGTACCTGCAAAATAACGGAGACTCCTGAGAGCTCCGCCTCCAACGGTCAAGTTAGTACCTGATTAAGGAGTAATTAATGCGGAAATTAAAGTAATAAGGTCTCTCTAGGTGAGAGAGTTTAATGTTGGTAATCTGCTTTGTTAGCGAGATCAGCCGGTTATTAGTGTGTTCCGTAATGTTTCAGTCCTGTTCTGTTTCTGTTTCTGTTTCTCCCAACTTAATGAGGATTAATTAAGTATTTATAGTCTTGAGAAGCGTGCCACTCTCTAGGTTTAGGGTAAACCTAGGGCTGACCGGGCCTCTAAACAGGATTGGGCCTTGTTGGCCGGTTTTCCCATTTGGCATGGGTGGACACGTGGCGTGTCTCAATTGGTCCGTAGAGGACGTATCTGTGATTAACACGTGGCAGGCTCCTATTGGCCTACGTGAAGGACACGTGGCGGAACCTGGTTGGTCCACTTGTCAGACGGTGATTGGTGGATAAAAATCCCCTAATCATTTGCCCCTCACAGGTGGCACGTGACTGGTCACGTGTCACCTGTGACAGGTGCCGCACGATGACAGGCGACGGCCTGCTACAGGTGTCACCTTGCAAATGGCCGAGAGATTTTCCCGCCCAAATTTTGAATTTGGCAGCGACCCTTCGCCTTCTCACTTTGCCTATATAAGGAAGTGCTGACTTCGGTCATTTTCACATTTGAGAACTTTGCGAGAACATTCGGACCCCTGAACTTGCTCTGACATTTCGGACCTTTTCTGCCTACCGCCTGTTCTGACAAGCCGACTGCACCGGATTTCCAGAACTTCATCAACCGTCACTCGTTCAGGTAACTCAGTTCTCTTACTCTTAACTTTCTTTTTATTTTTTGAAATGGCACCACGGAAGCACACGACACGACCTAAGTTAGTGATCAGCCGGTCACCGGGGACGGCTGAATCTAGGACTAGGAGTGCCGCCTGCCCTTTTCTGGACCCATCTTTGCCCTTTATACAAAGTCCGACTGTATCTGTGTCTATGCAGAACGTGATGGCCAGAACAAAAAAGACTGCTATGATCTCAAACTCGGACGGCTCCTCCCAAAGGGTGCTCATTAGTGAAACATCTGACCAGGCGCCAGATGTAGAAGTGAAACGAGGCGGCTGCCAAGCCGACAGTTCTGAGGGAGGGGTCAAGGTGGTCCCTTCCCATTTCACCGTTGATATGTCTAATTTTCCTCCTGCTCCTTCTAAGGGAGAGGAGGCGGGCCCCTCTGGGAGAGGGGAGGAGTCGCCCTCTTCGGACTCGTCAGAGGACGAGTCCGAGTCCAGCTCTTCTGGCCACGCTTCTCCAGGCTCAGAAGAAAGAAACAGCCGCCTACAAGAGGCGAGGCTTTCTCATGCAGTTGAGAAGGGGGACAATTGGACGGAGCCGTCCGCCTCTTACAGAGAGGAAAACACCCCCTACTACTGCACGGTGCCCCGGGGCCGGATCGCAGCCATGCAAGACAAAGTGGAGAGCTTTATAGCTAACCACAGAATGGGCCCCGAATTTTTACTGTTCGTGCCGGATCCAGAAGACACTGTCGTCTGGCCGGCTGGTACCAGCTACGATGACGGCTGCTTTGGCTGCTATGTGGCGGCCATCAAAGCTGGACTGCGCTTCCCATTACATCCGGCTGTTCAGCGGATTTTAGATGGGTATGATTTGGGGTTATGGCAGTTAGCCCCCAACTCTTGGGTAAACGTACTCGGCTATGTGGCCGGGTGCGAAATGTACGGGGTGGAGCCAAGCTTTGAGGCTTTCGCCCACATGAACTATCTCAGCCGGACCCCTAAGTCGGGAGGTACCGGCTGGTATCAATTAACAAGCCATAGGGGCTACCTCATGACGAGAGGTAAGGCGAACAAATGGAAGGATTGGCGGAACACCTTCCTTATTATCGAGGGTTCAGACACGGAGCTGAACAAACGCTTTAACAAGTGGAATAGGGATCCGCCTCTTCTCGCAGGCGGCCGCAGCATGCCACCTGTTCCCCCAAAGGCTAAAAAAGAGATCCTAGACAAAGGACTCTTCAAAGTAGAGACTAGGGTGAACTCTACTTCAGGGGTACGAGAGCAAGTACCCCTAAACTGCGTCCTGAGCTTCAAGTGGCTCTATGACGAGTACTTTTTGGCCGCCTGTGGCCTCAGCAGTCGGTGCTCTAGAGGTAGCCGGCCTGACAAATACTCTGTTTTTTCACGCCTTGTTTACTTGGGATCTTTACTAACTTTGCTGTTTA